TTTAAAATGTAAGTGTGTTGGTTAATTTTTATGAGATAAAACATCATCGTCATTGTCCGTGTGGAAAACATACCTATTACCCACAATCATGAGAAAGGAGAATTTGCATCATCTCTAAGTGGAAGATATGGCTTGGATTTTAAAATCAACAATGCCTCACTCAACACCCAAGTGGAAAATATCTCTCTTCACTACATATTATAGAAGTATAGTTATTTGCATCACTACAAGGATTGACAAGAGTCTAATATTTTGAGAAAGGTTTTAAAATAAGAAAGCCAAGGTGGCAAAAATGATTTGAAATGAGATTGATTGACTTTTAGTCTTCTCACGAAAAATGATGTCAAAATATTATTAAGTTGATTGAAGTTTATTCATGAAATTGTTTTTTGAAAATGCATGGACCTAAGTCCAAGTTTCAAAACAAGAGGAGTTTTCAAAAAGAGGAAGAACATTTTTGAAATTAAAGAAGATGGGAGGAGAAGAAGAGATTATCCTAAAGAATAAGGTAAAAGCTAGGGATAAGAACCATCTAACCAACAAGAAGCCAACACTTAACATTATGAGTCAAGATAGAACTCAAATTCTTTGGATTGTAACCAAGCAAGCAAAGATACTAGACCTCTTGAGAGAACCATACTTCAAGTGTATTAAGTCTTCACAAAAATTGGACAGAGTAACAGCTGTATACGGGTGAATTCCAGATTACAATCAAAGAGTGTAATCACAATAACCTGCACACAAAACAAAAAAACAACCCAATGTCTTGAGGTAAACCTCAAGAGCTCCAGACAAAATAATCAGATAAGGTCACAAGGTCTCCAATCATAGGCCAAGGTTTCTAATCCTAAGTCCAAGAAGTCCAATGTTCCATAATGCCAAGGATAGTATCCAAATAGTCCAAGTATCATTAAGGATTTTATGGTTCATATTGATTATTAGGTGTCTTAAGAAAAGAAAAGAAATGCTCAAGTGAGCAAAATAAATAAATAAAACAAGGAAGTAAATGCTCAAATGAGCAAAGATGAAAATGGCATGAAATGTAAATGCTAAAAGTAAATAATGCATAAAAATAAAAGGGGGATATAATAAAAATAAAGGATAAAGTCAATTATTAGTGATTAGTGGTTAGTTAGATGATCATCTTGAAACTTGCATTTAGAACTCATTAGAGGATTGGTAGAACCAAAGCTTCTACACAACAAGTTGCATTTTCTTTTTGTCAAGTATATCATCCATTTGGAATCCTCATGAGTACCATTTAATAATCAATGATGTTTAAGTGATCCGCGTTGACCAAAGGTGTTGTAGATCCATTAGAGGATTGGTAGAACTAAAACCTCCACACAATGAATCTCAAGGTTATTGGATCGAAGAGATCAAATTAACATACTTGGGCTTGCAAACATAAGTTTGGGCCACTAATGATCATTTATTCGAATCGGGACAAAATTTAGTGCTATGTTAAGCAATCGTAAGTGGACTTATATAGAAGTCACACCTATTTTGAGGCCGGTCAATAGCAATCTATGCACCATTTATTTTGAGACATGATATAGAGATCATGCTCCAATAACACTTAGTGCAATAAGAAAGGTATGAGATGAAGAGGGGTGGGAGAGAATATACAAAACCACTTTTGAATTAAATTTAATCAAACTATTATTAAAATCATTCATCCATTTTGTGGAGTTAGACTCAACACCATGGATCCAATTATGTTAGTAAATTTCATGATAAAAAATTGAACCCAAGATGAGCCAGAAAATAGTCACAAAATAATATTATATTTAATATATACAAAAAAGGTTTTAAAAAATTGTTTAAAAATAGAAATAAAAGAGAAAAATATCAACTATGTTCAAATTGATCAAGAAATAAAAGTAAGACCATAGAAGAAAAAAAAAGACTCAAATCATTTTATAAATTTTTTGGTAATTTTTCAAAGTCAAACTATTTTTTAAAATTAAAAGAAATGAGTAAAATACACCAAAAATGATAAAAAAAAAATAACAAAGACAGAAACAAAAATAGAATAAGGTCATAAATATTTGTCACAATATCATTGGATCATTCCATAATTTTTTCAGAATTTAAAAATGCATAAAATTATTTTTAAACATTTAAAACAATTCAAATAAAGTGAAAATTTATAAAAAATACCAAAACACAATTAAATTTTGAAAATAAAAATCAAAAAGAGAATAATCAAAAATATTTTTCATAATTTTTTCAGATTTTTTGGACTAAAAATGAATTTTCTATGATTTTTTGAAGTTTAAAACAATTAAATATAAAAATCAGAAATGAAAATAAAAACCAAAAAAATATGGGTCATCTGATCAATGTCAAAACGCATTAGTAAACAAATCAAGTGGACCTGGCGCGCTGTGCATGTTATGGACTTTAGTGAATAATGCATAGGATCATTAGTTAAATCAGATTTTTGAAAAACACAAATGGCGCGCCTTCATTGGTTAAAAGATGACGCGTTGGTCATCTTCAATCTCCATCCAGTCTCAAAACTAGGTTGTTCAATCTGTAAAATTAGAGCACGAGACCTATGCCATTCGCTTCGTCTCTTCAAGACGAAGACAACCACACATTCACGACAAATTTATATAAACTATAGCTCAAGCAATTTGGAAGGAAAGTTTTGAAAAGGGATTTGAAATTTCATGGTCAAAACGTGTTTCTAGTAAAAAAGCAAGTGTTGCAACTAGAACCAGGGCAATGAGAGCATCACAATGATATCAAAGTTTTGAAGAATTGATGAAGGAATCTACCTATTGAAGTTGAGTTGCAGAGCTTTGAAACTAGACTTCTATGGAGCAATATAGGGCACGAGTCTTGAATGTAATTATATGGTTATCTTCAAGGAAGATCAAGGAAGGTGAATTGATGGAAAAATTAGATTGAAAAGGGCTTGAGAATAGATTTCGAAGTTGTTGAATTTTGAGTTATGGAACAAGTTTGGCAGGGTGATTATGGTTATCCAAGCTTGATGAAATGAATGGGGAATGACCCTCTATTTATAGGGAATCAAATGGAATGTCCAAGCATGTGAAATGATGAAGTTTGGAGGGAAATCGTGAGAAGTTGCAAACAAGAAAAGTGTGACTTGTAATTTGATCAAAACTCATCCAAAACGCGCATTTTGTTGTGCTAGTCAATTCTGTAACTTCATTAAACATGTTTAGAGGAAAAAACACGTGGAAAACTTGTGATTAGAAGCCAAAACAAAGATTTCAAAATATGACTTGAGATGAAACTTCAGTTCCAAGTTACCAACTTCAAAATCATGGCATTCTCAGCTCAAGGGGTCTTAGGGCATGATTCTTGATGCTTTATAAAGATGAGGTTACAAGCTTTGCAATGGAAAAAGAATGGGATCAAATGGATGCTTGAGCTGAAAGTTAAATTGAGTCAATGTTGGAGAAAAAGGGTTGACTTTCCATACTTAGAAATATTTCAAATTTTTCTTCAAAAGTGACCTATAATATCTTGCATCCAAACATGACCTTCCACTTGGATTTTTCCCTTGACCAAAAAATATGGCATGAGATAGACCTCTTTAATGACATTTTGGGACCTGAACCATTCAAAATCTCCAAAAATTGAGAGAGTTATGAATTGTTGAAGTTGGCAAAAATCATGAAATGACCTATAATCTTTTGTATCCTTAAGGAAACTTCCATCCATTTCTCACTTTGCACATAAAAGAAGGCATAAAGTTCACATCCTCAAGATTATTGTGGAAAACGAATTGGCTCAAGATGATAAAAATTGACCGAGTTATGATTATTTTAAGTCACACATGGAAAATTGAGGATTCATCTGGAGGACTTGTAATCTTTCTTCTTCATCAAGTTTCTTCCACATGAAAACTCCTTGGAACTTTTGAAGTGATTTGTTAATAAACCTTTAAAGAGAAGGATGTATTTGGAATCACTCAAAAATACCAAAAGATGAGCAAGATATACTTCTTTGAAGTTCAAAATCCTAGCTCCTAGATCAAGAAAAAGGCCTTGAGGAACTTTGACAATTTTGAACAAACTTCTTGTACCAACACAAATGCTTTGTAAATATAAGTTATTGAGGATGACAATGAGAACTCATAGCAACCACAATCACTTCCATATCTTGAGAATTGAGAGAAATATGCATTTGTGAGCAATGGAAACAAAGCCTTGTCCAAGCATGACAACTTCTCCAATCAATCCCTTGTGCTTTTGAACCAAATTTGATAATCTTGAAATATGGTGAACCAAAATAACCTTGCCATACCATTTCCTCCAAAACAAACCCAATGGTGAGGTTTAAACTTCTCAAGCTTTATTGACTAGGGCATGGAAATAAACTCATGAACACATGGTGCAACTTGCTGAATCTTATTGCCTTTACCTACATGAGTAACAAGAAAGACAAACCAACATTGCATTTTATTAATTAAGAGAAGAAATCAAGACAAAAATATTCATGATCACAAAAGAACACAAGTCAAGGTGATTGGTGATTCCTCAAAGAGCAAAGCTAAATATAGGGAGGGGAACCAAGAATCCTAATGTGATCTTATTGTGATTGAATCAACATGGTATGATGAAGGGATCTTAGGGGGAAAACATTGGGGTACAATACATAGGGGTGTCAAATTGGCTGAAGCAGTAAAATGAAGGGGTGTTAATAGGAAGGGGTTGGATGGGCTTGTAAGCTAGTGGGGCGGAGGCCCAATCAGTATTTGTTATAACATAAAAATGAGAGAGATAAAATATAAAGGCAATGGTGGTACGGATCTGGACCGGGTTGTGGAATTGGGTGAGGCCCAAACGAAGATTGAAGAGTCAAAAACCCTAGGATGCAGCCGCTACATCACCTTCTTCCAGCTTTCTATTTCACGCTAATTTCAACACTCCCTCTATTCATTGCTAAATTTTTGTTCTGTTCCAAATCATAACTTCAGCTATTTTTCCAATTTTTTTCCGTTTAACAACAACAACTTAATGCCTCTTCCATTCTTTTCTTCAACCTTACAATTCGGTAAACTCCCTCCTTCCATTACAACCGAAACAACAACAATAGAAAATATTCCTCCAATTTCCTCTCTGTTTCTTATTATAATCGAATTCTGCTTCCATTCACTATCCCCATGCTCAAACCTTCCTCTATTCTCGCGCAACAAACAACCAATTCCTTGCGCCGGAAAACGATACTCTTTCTGGCTTCACCCGCGAAATACTCCCTTTGTCTAGATCTTACAGTTTTTGATTCACATCAACAATAAAAAGAATCCCACAGAAAATCGATTAACAACAACGATATAACACTGACAATAACATGGCATAACATTGAAGAACAAACAAACATACATCATTATATTAAAGCATCACACATAAACATAGTGAATTTATGAGAAAAGAAGGTATTTTACAAGGTCAGATCCAGTCCAACGGTATATTGATTCCGGCGAGAAACAAGAAAACCAGAGGTGAGTAAGCTGATACTAAATTCCTTTCTCTCCTGAAAATTCTTAAGTTGTTGAATGCTTCTGAACTTTGCACTTGCAAGTTGTTATATAGAATTGGGGGGAAACACTATCTGGACAACATAACTTCTGCTTTATCTTCCAGTTTTCCTTTCCCCTCTATAATAGTAATTTCTTTTTTGTAATCAATCAGTCTCTCCTCGTTTCTACTGTAATACTTAGGTTATATAATGATTTTAGATTGTGTAATTTAGGAAACATATTAAAGGTCTGTAACTGTTTTGATTCATGAATATGATTTATTTGTCTGTAATTTGATGTATAGTTAATATACTTCCTGTTTCAGTTTGATTTGTTTCTGGGTTTATTCTGTATTGATGAAGATTCAAAAAGTTTATGTTTTCATCTGATTTTGTATTTGAACGCAATTGATTAGTACAACAAGGCTTGCATTTATTTCCCAACGATCTGAACAATACTGTTTTTTTTTACAGCAAACCATTGTTCGTTTCAATTGGCACATCACTTGTTTCTTCTTTGGGCCACAACATTTACTTTTGGGCCTGCTATGCATTTTATGGACCGTGCACTTCCTTCTACCTATCAGTCAATGCTTTCAAACACTAAAACAAATATCCCCTTTTTTAATCAAGTTATAAAAAGAATGTTAATAATGAAAATCTATTAATGGTGTTTGATAAAACAGAAATTTGAAATGGGCAAGAAGTTATTTGGCCCCTTAACCAAACGTTATTTTCTTTTATCAACAAACAAAAACACAACTTACTAAGTTCATAATACAATGTTTTAATATTTAAATAAATTAATAAAAATGATAACTTAAAACACTTTTTTTTACTAAATTAAAGCTAAATTGGGCCATTAATTTGTTGGTCCATGCGTTCTTGAAATAACAACATTTTTTTTAGAATTAAAATGAACCTGTTAACTTTGAACTCCATGTTATACAAACACCACCCCTTTCCTTTTAATTACTAAAGAGTTCACTAAAGAAATTTAATTTTAAAAAAATTATAATAAAATAATAATGTTACTAATAATTAAAATCAAACAATTTTTTTAAACAAAACAAAAAGCTAGTTTGGACCATATTGTTTTAGTTTATTAGCCTTTAACGAATAAAAATGAATTTTCCTATACACCCTCTTTTTAATATTCGAAATGGATTTTTAATTTAACGGGCCTTTTAATCACAAATCGATATGGGCTAGCTAAATGACATAATGTCCTTTTTTAACGACCTCTTTGAAATGTGTCTCTTCCTGAAAAAACGCACCCCTCTTAAAAAGAGTGAAACCTTAATGGACTATGAGATATTGATGGTCCATTTTAAATCAATACACCTTTTCTTGTTTAAACTCCTATGAAAAACATAAATTAAATAATATAATTTATTTAAAAAGAAACCTAAAGATAATTAGGAGTAGAGTAAATTTGGAATATGACATTATATTTTTATTATTTATAGATTTTCGGACACATTTTAAATTATTTAATTTTGGACTTTTTATTAGATTTTGTGGCTGAGAGAAAAATTTTCATCATGAGATTAATAAAAACTTAAAAAAAAATTATTTTTAGTATTACAAAAATATAGAATGTCTATGGTGTGAGGTATAAATTTAGAGGTGACACATAATATCCTCCCAAATTCTTTAGTTTCTTTTTACCTCATATGGACTATCATTGAGCATGGTGCCTATCTCTTTGCAATGGCCCATTCGACCTTTTCTTTCTCTTTACTTGATATCAGAAATTGATAAAGCTTTATACAACTAAAGAATGTGGAACTCTTTCTATCCAAATAAAATTAACAAATAATGGATAAAATCATACTTAATAGACATTATAAGAAAATTATCAAACCCTAGAAAGTGGAGAGTGCCGAAAGAACCCATATACACCACCCCTATATATACATTCGATAAGCATTCACGAGAAATAAATACAATTAGATAATGTTGAGAAACCAACTTTAATGATTATAGAGATGTTACTCTAACTATTTATACATTGTTAAGAGACAATGTGGGGGAAATATGGAAACGATCCATGTGAACATAAAAAATATAAAATTTTAAAAGTTCATTTAATTTAAATAATGATGTTAATCATCATGCATTTGGAAGGATACTTTGATGTTAGATTTTGTTTACTATGTCCAAGTTCTTTAAAGCCTTAATGATGCAACATGTTCTAGACTTTACATGCAAAAGGAGCTGGAATGTTTGTCAAGTAGTGGTCAAGTTAGTAGAGGTTTTGTATTATCGTTAAAAAGGAAAAGAAAAGAGGAAAAAAACAATACTAAGATTAATGGTAATTTGGAGAAATCAACTACTTCATCTATCTCTAATATTATTAAATATTGAAGTAGCTAGATTTATAATTATCAACAATTTATTTATAAAATAATATATTATGAGAAAAATACAAATAATATATATTAATTGAATTATCTAATTTATTTATTATTTAAAATTTATTGAATAATTAATATATTTAGTCTTATTAATAAATTTATTAAATAATTAATATATTTGATCTATATAATAATTTAAAAATACATTTGATTCGTAAAAGAATAAATATTAGACATAACCGTAGATACTAAATAATAATTTATAAATAGAATAAATAAAATAAAATAAATTTTACTACAATACTTTATATATATGTATGTATATATATTATAAATTAATATTTTAATGGAGGCAAAAAAGTCTATAATATACTTATAAAAATAATAGTTTAAATTTTTATATAATAAATATATTTTTATTTTTATTTTTAAAATAGTCTATAATATATAAATAATATTTCTTTTTAAAATATGAATATTTTATATTATGGTGCATGCATAATATTAAAAAAGTAATAAAAAAATATATTAAAATTACTGCTTATTTATTCTATTAGATTACATTTACAACTTTTTATACTTACTTTTGAATACGTTAACTTATATAAGGAAAAATTATTTTTTATAGGGACAAATTAAAAAACGTAGCATGATATTTAAGCAAAAGAGTTTTCTTAGTGAGAACTTGAGCTCCCTTAATAACATGCGTAATTAACTTTGCTCTTCTTTTTTTTTTTTAAATCGTTTTTCTTTTTTAATATATAACAAAGAAGAATAGTTGATAATCATTTTTCTTTATTCATTTCTTTTTTTAATACGGAAACAACGGGTCATCTTTTCATATTTGGTAATTTTTTCTTTCATTGTTCTTTTGCTCTTCACATTTGGATTAATTATTTAGTCAAAATAAGGAATTTGAGATTCCATATTTTTCATTTTTTTCCAAAGAAGGTAATCAATGTGCGGATTTGTTAGCTTCTTTAGCTTTCCATTCCTCTTTACCATTATCTTGGAATAGTCTGTTTGTGACCCTTATTTTGACGGTTGTTAGAAATAAATTAGGACTTCTTAATTATATATTTGTTAATTACAAAGAGGGTTTTGGTTTAGTCCTTCTTTGTTGTTTCTTTATTTTTTTAATACACGCCTTTTTTTAAAAATAAAATAAAAAGAGAAATTTTGATGTTTAAAAATAAAATTTTTTTATTTCAAATAATGAAAATTATTAATTAAAATAGAATAGATATTTTTTTATAGTGATCTATTAGATGGAAAGTTAATTTTGTGTATAGGTATTAAGTATTATTCAATTTCATAAAAAATAAATTTTTAATTTTTTTTAAATTTAAAAATAGAATAATTAATATTTTTGATAATAATAAATTAATTAAGTTTATCGTAAAAATAAAACTAAATATCAATATTGTATACAATCGTACACAAATAAATATTTAATATGATAATCACTTATTATAATAAAACATTTTAATATATTAAAAATAATTAAGAAATAATAAAATAATAAAATAAAAAATAAAATAATACAATGAAAAGAGAAAGAAGAAAGAGATGATGAATGAAAGAGTGAGAAGTGGAGAAAAAAATAAAAGAAAAAATTAAATAGGAACTTGACACTTGATAGTATTCAATTGAAATAAGATGAATTAATTGAGAGATTAGATTTTTACTATTTTAACTTTTTATATGTGGAAAAAAAATTTAAATGAAAAACATTATTAATAATTTATATACATGTTTTTTTAATAGATAGATAGTTAATAGTTAATTGATATTATTTATGAAATGTTTACAACATAGAGCTTGCAAAGTTGCAATTGTAAGACATCACTTGCAATAGATCTTGTGGTTTTATCATGTAATAATCACAACAAGGACTAAGAAACTAGGATAATCTATTTTACCATTTTAGTCAAGTTCATATTAATACATGATATCTATGCCGTGACTCGTGATCTAAAAGAATAGACTTTGTATGATGCGATAGAGTTTTCACCAAAAAGGGTAATATTAGGGTTTGATACTAGTAGATTAGTTGGCAAACAGATTGATGAAAACAAATGAAAAAGGTCGATCATAATATTCATTGCCTAACCTTTTTTAACTGGAAAAATATGGTTTTATAGGGGGGAATACATCCAAAGAAAATGAAAAATTAGAAAATTTAATTTCAAGGTACAATTATTAAATATATTATTTTAAGAAAAAATGCAATTTGAATCCAAACTTTTTTGCAAAAGTAAAATTCAGATAAAACTAGACACACAATATAAGTCAAGGGAATTATCAATCATAATTACAAATAAACTTAATTTTCTTTTAGGGTGTGTTTGTTTACAATAAATATTTCTGAGAAAATAACTATGGAA